TTTTGCTGCTCTGGAACTGATTTTCTTTTTCTTCAACACAATTTTTATCTGGTTTAAATGTGAATATTATTGAACCTAAATACGTAAAATACCTGTTAAGAGAGGAAAGCAAAAGTAAAGCTAAGCCTAGTGTTTCAGGTATTTTTGAAGACTTTTTATTTTTTATCATTCATTTGAAAGTAAGGGTGATGTTTATTGACCAAAATTAGCTGATTTTGTTCCACAATTTAATACTACAAACTACATGATTCTAGTAGTGCTATTCATTATAGATGGGAAGGCATCTTTACTCTAAAATATTTTTAGTCTGAAATAAAAATGTTCCTTCAAGCTGAAGCTGCCCAGGTCAATTCCTGAAATGCACATCAAATAATGCAATCCATTTTTTTTGTGTGTGCATGATATGCAAGTAAGGTTAACATTTTCAGGAAAAATGCTTTGAAGAGCTAATTATTGTTTTCCACCACAATGCAAAGCCACCTTCTGTTTATTTCAGCTTCAGCTTGAACTTGAATTTCAAATAGGAATACTGTTTTTGACACTGGAAAATCTCCAGCAATCACACTGAAGCAATGGATATTATAAAATGTGTTAGTTTAAGTAATCTTCCCCATCTATGCACAGAGGGTAATTCTCAGACACAATATGCATGTCTTGTAGCTTCTACGACAGGTCAGCTAGTTATTTAAATTTCCAGGAAAGTAACCACAAGCTCAAAGTGACAGTGGGTCCTGGAGCTTACACTATTTGGAAATGATATTGCAGACTTGAGCGAAGGGAATTACAAGAGGAACTGAGCCAAGCAAGCTATTTCCAGTACCAACAATATGGGAGATGAAAAATAGAGGTGATTTTGGAGTAATTATTTGATGAGTGCTCTAAAGCAGGACACGCGTCCTTGTCCTACATCAGATTTGATTTATATGCATGCAGGGAATAAATTACAAAAACAAAAATAATGAAAAAGCTGAGGACAAGGATAGCTACAGTGCAGACTTAGCTTCATCTGTCTTATAATCTACCTTATCTAGCCTTGATTAGAGAGAATGTTTGGGGCTTGAAGGGACTTTTAAAGATCATCTAGTCCAATCCCCTCTGCTAAGGTTGTGACCAGATTGGCACCATTGGCAAGCTATTCTTCCTTTTTTTCCTTCATTTTCTTTACCCTGAATAAGGGTAGCAAAATAGAAAACTGACTTGCAAAAGTACATCATGATACTGCATGACTGGGCAGTAAGACAACAGATGAAACTGAATATAAATTTATGCAGAATAATTCCAGTGCTGGAAAAAATATACCAACTACAGATACACACTGATGGGTTCTGAACTAGGTATTACCATTTAGGAAAGAGTTCATAGAGTTATAATAGGCAATTTTATGAAGATATCATTTCACTGTTCAGTCACAGTCAAAAATAAAAACAGAATAATACACAACACTGGAAAGGAAAGGGGAACAAACTAGGAAATTTCATTATGCCAAGGGATAAACGTGTGGTGCACTCAGATCATGTGCAGTTAAAGTCTCACCATTTTTACAGTATATAGAACAAAGAGGTACAAAGAGTGACATAGATGATCAACAGCATTTAAGGACTTCTAAACAGTTTTCAGCCTGAAAAATATCTTAAGGGCAGATATGGGAAGAGCCCTTATAAATTCTTAAGCAGAATGAAGACTGAAATTGTTCGCTTGCCTCTTTCAGTATTAGAAGATACCAAATGAAACTAGTAGATGACAGGTTCAAAAAAAGCCAAATTCTTCACACAATCAATTATCGTATTGTGGAACTCTGATGCAAGGCTGCATCAGCACTCAACATTTGCACAGATCCAAAAGGCAAGTAAAAAACTCAGAAAAGAAAAATCCATTTAATACATAAAAATTAATGCTGTGGCTCAAGACGTTCTTGGACCACCTTCCAGATAAAGCTGCGAAACACACACATCTCATTATCACCAATGTTTAATCTCCTCCATCCAGTTAGGCATCAATCTTGCCCTCGTAAAACCTCAAATCCCTCCCTAGGAAGGGGTGAGGGGGCTTTGAGTAAAAGAAAAGTAAAAGGAAACAACTAATTACCAAAAAGAATGAAGTGAAAAGAAATGAGATGGAGGGCTTTATGAGTCAGAGGATATAAAGTATAAAACTAGGTGACTAAGGAACAGACAAAGCAGAGCACCTTGGCTGCTGGCCACAGTCAAAGATGATACTGGGCTTGAGACCCAGGATCTGAGGTGCTACAGGCCCTCCTGTGTAACCATGTACAGTTAGCCTAAAAAAGAGAGAACATATTTTAGGGTATGACTCAGCAAGCCAATGTGCCTCTATTAGCACAACACTTGAGCATGTGCTTGATAGAACCATAAGGTCCATGGAAGTTAATGTAAAATACACTTTCTATCAAACAGGCCCAGTAATTTTATGTAGAGCAGAAAGATAAAATCAGAATGTGCTGAAGGGTAAACTGAAAAGATGAAATAGGCTGATAGACCAGAGTGGCACAGACTGAAGAGGGTATGATGGAATAGAAAGCTGGAAGGTAGGAATCAATTCTATGCATAAAGCTACCGGAGAAGCAGCAAGAGTAGGATTTGTCTGATGCCTGAGAGGAAGCTGAGATCAAGAGAAGGTGTAACAAACAAATATTCTATTGTTTATTCCAAGTCATAAACAAAATTGTAGTCTAAAATGGCAGAAGACATAGATTTGACACAGAGCAGAATAACTAGGTGGGAAGGTGAGGCTTGTGCTATGGGATGAAGGAACTGACGAGGAAATTTGGTGGCAGCAGGTAAGAATGACACTGGAAGTAAAAGTCTCTGTCAGAATCTGTCAATTACTTTCTCAAGACACTAATAAAATGTTAAGTCAAGGAAGAAGGAGAAGGTTGGGTAGGCTGTGGGAATTGCAAAATCATGGCATGTACAGGAAGCAGCTATCTAGAAGAATCAACACTGTTGGAGACGAGTGCCTTTCACAACAAAATGGACAACCAGCAAAAACTTATGAAATTTCTTCTTCTCAAAGAGAACACTTTTAACCATTGGACCATTTACTATGGTATTCAAAGTTGATAAATTGTTTGTTTTAAAAATATATATATTTTTTAAAAGCTGGAGTTTCAGTTTTGGAATCTCATTGGCTAGAATTTAAAAAAAAAAGTTAACAATTTCAAACTGGAACAAAACTTTCAATGCTAGCTGAATGAAACTTCTGTACTGACCCAATTTTTTTTCTATTGGATTTTCTAGAATGAATTTAAAACTTCAGTTAATTTTGCATTTTTTCAAATTGCCAAGAAACTAAAAAAAACTTCAACTTGCTAAATTTGAAAATCTCAAAGACACTCTTGGAAAAAATATAACTCAATCCACTAAGATCACCTTTTCCCAAACTGCACGCTACCATGACATTGGAGGCATGCCTGAAAAGTCGAAAAGTTAAGTATTCTTTTGGAATAAAAATGGTGAAAAGACCATCACAGAAATGCCTTGGGAAATCTCCCTACCATAATGAGAGGATTTCAGCTTAAGGACTTCTTCATAACATTGTACAGCTGTGACCAGCAGGGAGGCAGATGGAGAACTGGGGAGACAAAACCTGTGCAGCAAGTAATGTGTGTAGCTCCCATGCTTGCTCACTAGCAATATCCCAAAGCACTTTTCTTCCCACACTAGCAGATAAATAAAATTATTATTCAGAAGGGATAACCATACGGTTTGTATAATCTTTATATGCTATTTCCGGTACATTATTAGAACAAATGGTAGAAACCCACAGAATAGGATTAAAATTTGGTTTCTTCTACAACCAGTATGTTTCATTTGAATGCAGAGGCAGAGTGACTATGTCACTTCCACATGCTGTCCCTTCATAGAACATATGTATATATGTAGTACTCATAGAACAATGCAATTGCTCCTTGTGGGGTATATTACTGGGTTTCCAAACTCAAATAAATATTTATCGGCCTTGCTGATAATTATTTGCTAGTAAATATTTGTTTAAATTGTCAAGATCTGATTATTTTTTTTATATTCCACTTCAGCCTACATGCATCTGTCTGCTTTGTGCTTTCCCAGTGTGGAAGGCTGTAAAGCAATGCAAAAAAAAGACAGGACAAATGCAAAAAAACCCAACTACAGGAAAGAAAATTAACCTAAACACTGAAATCCATTACCCAAAAACTGTGTCCTTTGTCTCTCCAACTCCTTCATTTCCTCTCACCCATTTTTTGGTCATGAATATCAGAATCCAGAATCAATTTTTAGTCCAAATTAAGGTATCTGTTCTGCTGCAGGAACAAAACTGATCAGGGTTTTTGTCTGGATACCGTGTATGCTTTCCATTTTTCACTGACATTTTTTTTTTTTAGCATCTACAAAACATTGCAGAAGCACATGTAAATCACCACTGTCTTGCCCAGTGAAACAGAATTTCAGTTACCAATGCCAACAGTTGCCTACAGAAGGCATCTACATCTGGTCTGCTACATCCAAGACAGCAACCACAGGCACGTTTTGCTTTGTTTGGAATTCATCCCTGTGGCGCAGCTGAGCCTCAGATAAAAAAACCATGAGCCTCCGGGGTTAAACAGACAAATGTTTTCAGTCACAACTTTTTTTTTTTTTTTTTTTCAGAAGCAAAGCCATAACAATGTATGTAAGAGGGTTTATGTTAATCATTAAAGGCCTACTGACTTAAATTGTTGCTAACACCGAGAAGTTGCTTAATGTACACTTGAGAGTGTGAAGGCAGAACAGATGAATAGTCTCACAAATCTTATTTGCTCAGTTGGAAAAATGCAAAAATATTTGTTAAAAAAAAAAAAAAGAGAAAAATAATGCGATTCCTGCTCACTGCCATTGAAATTTCAAAGTCAAATTAATATTCATCAGTTCTGAGTGCATGATGGTTTTTACTGGGAGGCAGAAGGGGCAGATAGAATCAGTAAACAAATTTACTTTCAAATCCACACATATTTCAATACCTACCTAGCCACTCATTGAATTTTTTTACTTCACTAGGAAGTCCCAGCTCAGTAAAATCACCAGCATGTATTAACACATCTCCATATGGCATTTGGATGGGATCAGTTCTTGAGTGAGTATCAGAAATACAGACAAATCGTGTATATCCTGGAGGTTTGGGAGCATCATGGGGCACCGGATCAACCCTGTAAGAAATGCATCATAACAAGGTGATAAGATACTTATGTATTTCATAGTGCCTACTTTGCAATTCTAATACTATTTTTTACCTTTACAAAAGACTACACAGACTTCTAGATCTGTCTGATGGAAGAGATTTATAAAACAAAACTAACAGTAATGGGAGGTGTAAAAACTCTTGATGTTCACATCACAACATTTTTAGTATTTGTTGAGTAGATGGATTAATTTAAAGAGATTAAGGAAAAGAGACTGAACTACGGCAGTAACTCTGAAACAAATACTTACACATAAATCAAAGGCTTTGCCAGTTTCAAAGGAACAGTGCTATCCTGCTTCATTGTTTAAATATGATTACACAGTACACAGAGGAAAGATTTATTTTAGATACATAAATACACTTAAATGCGGTTTTTTTCTAATTATAAGGTTTTTTTCCTGAAAGTTATATAATTCCGGCAAATTTAATTAACACATTTTGGAGATATGTTTCAGTGTGTTAATGCAAAGCAAGATAAGAACTCTCCTGACAGCAGCTGTAAATGTACATTTAAGCCTGGCTATTGTCAGGACAAATGTGGACACTTTCTGGGCTTAATTATATTAAATGAAATCAGAAACTGCGAGGGGCGAGTCTGCATTGTTCAAAACCTCAAAACTGAGGAAACTAAAAGAACTGACTCAGTTTGATGTGACTTATGATTTAGAAGAGGAAAGCTGAGAACACCGCTCTGCTACATGAGGAATACTTGTTTTCAACTCAATCTTTTTACCTTTAATCCATATTTTATTAGAATGTATAGAAACAAATATATTTATATGCAGCTATATCAAATCTGTTATTCCAGTTGGAAAATTCTAATAGAATAAAATCAAAAAGCCACATATGCAAGAGGTCTATTACTGTCACTAGAAACCAGAGCGATACACAGAATTGTTACAAATTATTTTATTTTTAAAACAGTAATTTTGAAATTATTTTTGTTCACATTTTCAATATGTAATACATATTCCTAACCTTTGCTGGTTGTGCTTCAATTCAGATTACTTTTCTATATATAAACTTAATCAAAAAACTTAGAGATCTTTGCTACTAATAATATTACCTCTGTTTACTGGGTAAATTTTCAGAAGGAATTGTATTGCTTGGAAGATATACAATAATAATATTTAATGACATAATCTTTTCTCTAAGTCAAAGAAGAAATCCATGAAATCTATAGGTAGGTAAACTGAGGGTTTTTTGACAATTTCACGAGATTAGTGAGAGAGTGAGGAATAAATCTAAAACATCCAAATGTTCTTATATGCAGAAAAAGTTCTTAGCATTTTCTACAATATAACTACAAAAGTAGAGTATGAACAAATTATTTTGTTTCTGTCTTTTGTGTGCCTTTTTAGAAAGAAGAAATGTTGGGGTTTTAACAGCAATACTGGAGAAACAACCTTTGATTGCAAGTACCTTTTAGTTGTCTTTCTGAAGTTCCAGTTTTTGAGCAGAAAGTAACCAAACATGAGGTAAGGAGTAAAATCAGCTGCTATCAAACCATACCGAATGAATACCCAGCAGTATGGAAATGGGAGATGCTAGTGGGGTGTATATAAGCAAGCACATACTGGAATTTGGACCCTGAGGGAGAGAAGCTGCAAACACTGTTGTTGAGCTGAGGGAGTTGTTGTGGGAGGACCAGAGGCACATGTGGAAGGGCAGATGAAAACAAACAAAGAAAAACAGTTAGATGCAGGGGGAGTTAGACACAGGAGGTCACAACCTCAAACAGTGGAGCTGCATGACTGCCAAAAATGCCTGTTGTGGAGAGAAGAGAGCTGCCATAGAGTGAGCACGAGGGGTGGTGAGTGGAGGTAACAGGGGTGCAAAGGAATATGGATGGTGAACAGTGGGTTTTAGACTAGTGAATGAGGCTTATGTCATAAGGTGCAAGCTGTGTGAAGGGCAATGCGTTCAGTTCATGGAGTTCCTCCTCAAAATGAACTGGGATGGCTGGAAAATATGAAGGGGAGCTAATGCTGGCTATTGCTGCAGACATTCAAGCTAAAAAGATTAATCATCAGCTCAGTGAACAAATTTTGATTACTGCTCTGTTTGCCCAGCACTTCCTAAAGAGAGTTACAGGTCGTACTAGTAAGCCAGCTTTAAATTATATATACTACCCTGGCACAACATCCAGACTGGCCTAAAATACCACTTTTTGACTTCTCATGCTAGGATAGCCTTTAAAGCAGGTGCTGCTTCTCCTCCAGACATCTTCTAAAGCTCAGCACAGCAGCAAGTTGGGTGTTGGGGAGTAGCATGCATTTCACATGTTGCTCCTCTGAAGCTGAATGGAAAAAACAACAGACTTACCATGGCAACACGTGCAGCACATAATGCACAGGCTTTTTTTCTTTTAGTTTGGATGGGGATGGGGAAGATGTGGACAGCATCTTCCTGGTTGCCGAGGTAAGTATAACCTTCAAATCCTGTGCAATGGGCCAGAGAATTTTCATGGGAAAAGCATCAATGGAAAAAAACTAAATAAATGAGATGCAGATTTTTCACCTTGAAGTGATATGCACACACTGAGGCTGGATATAGGTAAAAACATATGTCAAGTTTCACAAAGGCATCTAAGTTGTATTACTGGAAATAATTTCTGGAGGCTCAATCCCCATATTCTAGTGTAACGCATTCCCACAGCAGCTGTCACACCAACACCCAACGCACTGCTTGCAGCATGAGCAGAGGAATAAAGATCTACTGATCTCCAAATGCATCTGTTTTTTCTTTAAAGCAGTATGAAAAGTTGCAGAGAAACTGAAAAGCAAAGTTTAAAAATCTCAGAGCAAAAACACTGCCAGAGGTTAATTTATACACTCAATTTCAGTGGTTACACAAAGGAGTGAAGAAGGAATTTCCCAGAAACAACTGATGAAATTGAAAACACTATTAAAATTTACCACCCTTCTTGTCAGTGGCAACCCAGTCATCACACAAGCACAGGAATCCTAGACTAAAATGGGGATAGAAAAAACTGTTAAAAACCCAATGTTATGTGTGCTAAAAAGTGAAACAAGAAATATAAAACTCCACGGAGGACCAAGGAAGAGCTGCAAAATTTAATTCAGAAGAAAAGGAGCACAAAAAAACCCCTGTGGCTAAAGTAGCTTAGTAGGAGTTCAGATGTTAACAGGTCTGTGTGAAATCTGTTTATGATTGCCTGCAATATCACTACTCTAGGTATTTGGACTACACACAAAGACAAGTCAAAGCCCTCACCTCCCTGAAGTTAATGACAAAACTTGCAAGGACTAAAGCAGGGCTACGCTTCCACCCATAACAATCATGTGAATAAAAGGTGCTTTTGTTACACTTTTTATGTCTACTTTTGCCTTCTTTGTTATTATTCTATTCATTGGTAAGAGGCCAAAGCAATCCTGCTGGCATTCAGAAACATTATTTACAATTTCTGTACCAAGAGAAAGAGTAGGTCAGTCTGTGGTAAATGTTTCAATTGATTTGGTCTGTTTTTCTATTTTCACAAGCTTCTTCAGTAGTATTAATCATTCATGAGAGATTGCTAAACTCTTCTGAGGACCTGTCTTCTAAGAATAGCTTATTTTCAAGTACTCGCTTAGGTGCTGAACTTTTGTCATGCAGTTGACTGTCTAAGCCCTCCAGTAACATTATTTGTTGTTGGTTAGAAGTTTAAACTGCACAGTGTTTGGTACTAAAAAGATATGAATAAATAACTTGTTTTCAGCCCACTAAAAAACATTGAGCTTTAAGACCAGTGAACAAACTCATGAGTGCCCAGGAACTGTCTGAATATTCACAAAGAATGGCTAAGCCTCAACAAATAAAGCAACCTGCATTTGGCATTTTCATTTGTAAAAGTATTTCTGAACCCACATTTGTTTGTTTGTACTTTTGCTACCATTTGCCAGCTCCACAAAACAAAAGATGTTTCCCAGTGCTAATGCTCAACTCATTTTACTGTTTGTGTACAACAGCACCTAAAAACCCCAAACACAGACCATAAGCCAATACACTGCCCCCCAAAACTGGGTGTTTGCTCATCACCCTGGTATACTTGTTAGTCTTATGATTTTTTAACCTAATATCTACTTTATGCCAAACAATGTACATAAGCATTCACTAAATTGGCACATAGCATTAAACCTGTCATAACTGCTAGAGATTTTTTAAGTGCAGAAATTATGGCCTATGTTTGTTAAATTACCAAATCATATTAAATACCAAAAATGTGAATGAGGTGACTGCTTATTCAGTCTTCTTAAAGGAAAAAAAAAAAATCCTTAAAAAAATGAAAATAAGCCCTCTGATCTGAAGATAAGGCTGCTTCTCTCTTTAAGAAACACAATAAAATGGTACAGACATTTTTATTCCCTATAAAAATATTTTACAGTAGAATTTTATACTTAATTTATTTGTAATAGCTTTGCTGTTTTGCTCTTCCTTCTGGCTTTAAACTTTAAGGCAATTTTCATTTTGTAATTATAATTCTCCACTTTACATAAAAATTAAATCATTTAGAGCAGTTAATTTTACTGATCTTGTCATTATATAAGAAGTCAGAAACAAACACATTATTTTAATTACTCTTTAAGCACTTGGCATCTTCAGCACATCGGTATGAAAGTAGGTTGTCGGATGGGTGATCACACTATTTTATTTATTGATGTGATTTTCCCCTTGTATGTAGCTGTAATATAACTAACCAAACAGTATGTGTTGTACAGATATGGGCTTGATACTTTCAACAGCTATTTACATCAATAAGCAAGATCTCAATGCAAACAAACATTATTAAGATTGCAGAAAATACAATCTTTGTGGCATCTCTTATTTTATTACCACTGCTTGGTGTTTATTTCTCTTTTTAATACGTAAGTGTTATATACTACAGTTAAGCTAGTGGAGTGATCTTTCTCCCATCCTTTAACAAAGTACTTATACTTTCCAAATGGACTGATTTTGTATCATCATAGTAATTATTATTAGAAAGGCAGCAAGAGAGTGTTCCTTGAATTCTTTTTGACTGGTCCATCAAATACCACATCGAGAAGGCAATAACAATTCAGAAGGCTGTGCTAGAGCAATAACAAAACTATAATACTTACATTTGCACATGTGGGGGCTGAAAACGTCCCTGGTTAATGTTGTAGAACGTGAAAGCCTGTGTGGGGTTGGAGCTGTACTCATCCACTTCAATGATGAGTCTACTGTGCTGATGTCTTCTCGCTGCCATGATGTGTGACTGGGCGAAAGCCATCCCTGCACTCTGCGCTCTGGCTTCCTCAGGCGATCATATCTGCTATCTTCCTACATCCACGGAAGAAGACCATGACATCTCCTTACCTAATCAGCACAGCCCTCTTGGAAAAACCTAAAAGCAGATCGAAGAGACGGAGCATAACTGTTTGGCAGTTAATTTGTTCGGGATTTTATTTCATATGAGAAGAAGATGAAGGGGCGATATGGAGGGACAGAGACAACACAGCTCAAAGACCTCATCACGAACCTTTCCAAATCAGCAATTTGATGAACGTACTTTAGTTGGGGGTGGAAAGCAGGGAGTGGAAGTAAACTTGCTAAAGAACACAGAGGCAACTTGCTCAAGTATTTCAGACATTTAATACAAATCTAAGACAAGGCAGTAATTCTTCAGAATGGCCTATCAAATAATAATGTTTCTTCAACACAACCACTTGCTTTCTTCTTTTATTGCACTGCTGAATGTTTATTCCCCATACTCCTTCACAAAAACCCCACTAAACCTGAAATTGAATATGTGGCTGTGCACAGCTAAAATGCAAGTTAATTAAAAAATAATCAGTTTAATCAGTTCTTCAGAAAGTCTGTGCTGTTTATTACAGGGAGACCTTGCAAGCGGTTGTTGTTTACACCTTAACAAACAGGGCCAACAGCCTTCTGTGCACTCATTCCTTGTTTTATAGTATCACTGAAGGAACTCCTGACACAGATATAAAGGGCTCCCCCCTTCAAACACATTCTCTTCTCAGTCAGCAGTAGTGCAATATTCTGGATTCAGTGGGAAAGAAAGTGATACAAAGGTGAACACAGCTAAATGTTATTAAATATTTTTAAAAAAAAACAAAAGTAAAATTCATACAGGTTTACATTTGGAAATAATTATTTTCCCTGGAGTTTATTGGAACAGTAGAATACCAGCACTGCAAAAGGGTAGAGGAACAGCAATGTGAAACCAACTGGAATGCAAAGAGTACCCCCTAGAAACATCAGAAAGTAATTTAAATTTGAATTTTACTTTTATTGACCAGTTTTAATAAAATATTTATTACAAGCTACAAATATGAGCATTTTTCACAGTATATTTCTGCATCCTTCTTCAAAGCTGTCTGTCTTAAATATTTGCTTTTGTGCAAGCAACGGTTCCTTTTTTCTAGGGAATATAAGTGATCTGCTTCAGAAGATGCATTTCCTGAAAAGCCATGCTAGAATGCAGCAATTCCCTTAACTTGTGCGGTTTCTAAGATGCAGAACTAAGAGTATTTTATGTGACCTTGCTGATATGCCTTTCTTTCATTGTGAAGGGACCATGGCCAAGAGTGATGCACGAAGGAGGTCTTCATAGTCATTTAGATTTTTAAAGCTCTTTACAGGTACTTCGGTCCAATTCAGTTCTACAGGCAGTCAAGTACATAGGCGTCTTTAAAACATCAGGCTTCAGTCCTTTTCTTAAGTCCTACAGATACTAAGTACTCAAAGAAGTGGCAGCATATTCTTGTTTTGCAAAATCTTGTTCTTAGTAAACTTAAATGAGAGATTCAGCTCAGTTTTGTTATTTGCTGAATGGCTGTAAAGCGATGACAACTTGCTGTCACTTACAATCCGCAGGAAAACAGTCTGAAAATAAAAGAGCAGATTATTTCATGCCCTCCCCTAGAACGGAGTGGTAAGGAAATGGTAGAAGAACAACAATGAAATTTTTGGATTTTGAACACTCTCAGATGCTGTGCTTATGCTACAGAACAAGCTGCAGCACAAAGGAATGTGCCAAAGCAGGGGGAGGGAAAGGAGGCATGATCCTTGTAAGAATAATCAAGTACAAATTGCTGCATTTAGGAAATAAGAAATTATGATGGCAGATGTGAAGAACCCTCCCTGAGGAGCTTTCTGTATTAAATGATGCATTTGCCAAGAAGTTCGAATAGGCAAGGTCAGAGATTTCATAGGGGGCAAATTGTTCTAAGTGCACCTACTTCGTTTGAAAGAAACTATTAGTACTGGTGACCTCTAGAAATATTCTCCAGTCAGATTAATAATTTAGCATTCCTCAGCTCTACATAAGGATTTCAAGCTAACTTGAAAAACACAGCCTTTGTTTTATAATTCAGGGATTATGCCCACTTTACACACAACTAAACTTCAGTTACAAATGAGATAAGGCACTGCCTTAGTGATTTATAATCTCACTTTGGCCTTAGCAAGTTCTCAGGAGCTCACAGCTGCTGAGAAAATGCCTTCTGTCAGCCTTCTCTTTGGGTCCTGTCTTATGGCTTCTCTCAAGTAACACACCAAATCTGCTGCAGAAACAGCAAATGCATGCAGGTACCCCAATGTCCACTCTTAAGCTCTGCTTCCTCTTTCTGGGTGAATGGAAAGTATCACTTACCAACCCAAACTAACTCAGAAGAACAGATCAGTTTGCAAACAGAAACAAACCATCACCAGCACATGGCTGATAACACCTTTAGTGCTGAAGAGTTCTTTTAAGCAGGGAATCAGTCCTTGTACATGGTAGAGTGTTTGTATCACACCATTAGGTCAGCTTGAGAGGATGCTAGCCACAGACATTCAGCAAGAAGTTCACCATATAAACATGTAGAAAACAGCAAGCCAATGTATTTCACTGAAGGCAAGGGAAAAAGAAGAAAAAAAAAAAAAGAAAAAAGGAAAAAATAAAAAAAAGAGATGCCACAGCACTGCTAAGCCTTCTGACAAATCACAGTCACCCAACATCAATGCTGGATACATAAAAAGTATCCAAGACTGGACAAGAAAGGAGCGAGCCTGATCCTGCAAGTAAAATAAAATAACTAGCATTCACATGAATAGTCTCTGCTAAACAAAAATCACATATGTAACACACATAATCAGTAGGTATAATTCAGTCGCAAGCTTAACTCAATCTCATTTCAGAAACATACACAGATGTCTTTGAACCTTACCTTTCAGTCTAGGGTTTTCTTCCTGCATAAGTGGTTGGCTGACTACTAACATTCTTGGTGTTCGACAGAACAAGCTGTCTCTTTCCAGCTTGACTGATAACCAGACTGACACGCATTACTCCCCTCTTTTTGTTTCCATTTTCAGTAGTCCCCCAAATCAAAACTTCTTCTTTCTGAAATTTCTTCCTTTCCCACACCAGAATATAAAATACAGCAAGGAAATAATAATCTGCTTCTATTGCATGCAAGTTTTAAAATTACATGCCTAGCATTAACTACACAGAGCATTAAGACTCAAATCCCCACAGCAACAACATGCTAACCATCCTCTTCCCCCAGACTTATGGAGCTGCGGGATGTCTGCCAGGGAAAAACAGAGAAATGTAAAAAGGACTGCAAGAACATGAATACTAAAATAAATATCACAAACCTGGCTGTTAGAATCACAGACTGAGAAAAAGCTATTAAATTCAGCTAAGACATCTTCTTACTGATGGCAGGAATGCTCTCCATACATTATTTTTCTGCTGCTTTCTCCAGCATGTGTTCAAAAGTTCGCAGAGCTCTGACCCAAAACCCACTGTGTACAGTGGACATTGCTCCACTGTCTTCAGGAGGCTCTGCACCAGGCCATAAACTATGTGGATTGCAACACCTCTCCTGAGGAATTACGGAACTAGGCAAATGCTTGAACCCAGATGTATCTTAAATGCTTTGATGAGGTCCTCGAACAAATCTTTGCATTTAGACTTTTTTACTTTTTCACACTGAAATTTCTGGTATTTTCATCTCACAGCCTTCTTGTAATAGCTGGCATAATTATTTTCCTCTCTTATATGAAATTTCCAGCCTATTTATGCATTCCATTTATCTTTTTTTTTTTTTTTTTTCTATTTCAAGACAACATTTTATTTTACTTACAGGTTTACTTACAGGTTCTGCTTTATACTATGTTCGTCTCTCAGTTCACTCTCATGTCCACTGTCTCTCACCGTAACTCATTCCATCATCCCCACTATTCCCTGCATCATCTTCCCTATGTTTCAAGCTTATAAAACACTGAGACTTCTCCAAAATTATTCCAACAACACAAAAGATGAATCTAAACTTGAAAATAACATGGCTCAAGCAGATGTCACTGAAATAATAATTATAAATCAAGATAAAATACTGATTATGATGATTACTATAATGAAAAATAAGTTATTAATACAGAGAGAAAACGGAGAGTTTTCTGTTAAGCCATGAACTTCGCTAGGTTAAAAAAATCTGGATGTCAAGAAGCACAACATGGCTATAGCACACCCCAGCAAGAGTTGAAGAGAGGCAGTTGCCAGATTTTGCATTAATAACAGTAAGATACCATAAAAACAAAAAGAACGCTGCGACTCTCAGTAGTACCAAGACCAGTGGCAAAGAGGTAGCTACAGAAAACATGCTAGTTTTGTTCAGAGTCTGACAAACTGGGATTTGGGGATTTGGGGAGGCAATGAAAAAGTGAAATGTAGTAAAAAAAAAAAAAAAAAAAAAAAAAAAGAGGCAATTTCATGCAGCCATAAAACATCCAAGCCATATATTTTTCAGGGAAAGCTAGTAAGACAAGAGCAGTAAAATACTTTAAAGATGTGTGCGAGAGTTTGTGATAGACCAGATAGTGTCACACTTGTTTCTTGTGCAAATCTTGGATACTGTTAACCAAAACTCCTACAAGAGTTTT